CCGTGGGCGTGGCTGTCGCTGTCCCCCGTCCCCTCCCCGGCAGCTGGCACCGGTGGGGCTGCGCTGTCACGGCCCGTCCCACGTCGACCTGCCCTGCTGGTGTCCCTGTCCCGGGGGACCTGCCCTCCTGGTGTCCGTGTCCCTCAGGACTTCGGCCCTCCTGGTGCCTCATGTCCCCATCACCCTGAGGACCTGCCCTGCTGGTGCCCCATGTCCCCATCACCCTGAGGACCTGCCCTGCTGGTGCCCCATGTCCCCATCACCCTGGGGACCTGCCCTCCTGGTGCCCCATGTCCCCATCACCCTGGGGACCTGCCCTCCAGCTGCCCCATGTCCCCATCACCCTGGGGACCTGCCCTCCTGGTGCCCCCCATCATCCCTGTTTTCCTGTCCCCACGCCCCTGGGGACTTGCATCCGTGCCCCAGGCCCCATGGGACTGTCATGGTCCCCATCAGCATCCCCAGCCTGGGGCACACCAGGCCTGTGGGGACCTGCCCTTCTGGTCCCCTCCTGGGCACGCTGGGCCAGGGCCGCTCTGCGGTGCCCCCCCAGCATCCCTGTCCCCTGCCAGGAATGGGGTACCCGGAGCCGGTCGTGGTCTCTGCTGCTGGAGACGCCCCTCCTGGGACCGCTGGGGCCATTTCCACGTCCACTGGTGGCTCGTGTCCCACTGACGACCCAGCCCTCCCCTCACCCGCTGCGCTGATGGAGCTCGGCCCGCAGAGCCGGGGCTCGTCTTCAGACCAGGACGGACAGGGGCTGAGGGCGGGCGAGTTTCGGGCTGCACTGGGCCCCACGGCCACCCCACTGTGCCCTGCCTCCCTCCCTGAGCCCAGCCTGGGGGCAGGTGGCCAGAGGTCAGCCCTGCAGGTGCCCAGTGGGGACTTTATGACTCTGAAGGGGTTTTCTTCCCTTTTTTTCGGTTGAATTTTCGGTTTTCGCCTCCCAACAGGAACCAAATGTCATGGCTGACGAAGAGCTGAGCGCCCGAGCCACCAAAAAGGGAAGTTTGTCACCCAGCAGCTCCCGGGGCGGCACAACCGAGTCGAGCACGCTGCTGCAGGAGCTGAAGAGCACCATCTCGTAAGGGCAGCGCTCGCTTTTCCCCGGGCAGCTCTTCCAGTTAATCTGAGCGTTACCAAATGTGGGCTAATTTAATAAGGTTGATTAATTTGCAGCCCCAGGGACCGAAGGGATAAGCGTTGCGGTGCCTTGCAGCTTCTTGCGTTGGCGCTGGCGCTGCAGAGTGGCATGGCCTCAGGCGTGCCCTGCTTGGTCCCGTGCGAGGTGCTGCACACAGAGCGCAGCCCCGTGCTGCGCTGCCAGCAGCTTGCTGCCCGTTTTGGGTGCAAAATCAACTCGGGGATTCACGGTGGCGCAGTTTTGTCTGCTGTGACCCCGTGGGATGTAGTTTTACGCCTGCTCTGCTCTCCCTGGGGTTAGGGTAGAGCACGCAGCTCTAGAGCTGGGTTGTGGGTGCGCAGGGAAACCCGGAGCACGGGGAGAATGGGCTGCGCTGACCCATGGGTGCAGCCAGCCTTCGGCTCTTGGTGCTCCGGTGTCCCCATCTTGGCATTGCTGCTCACCCTGGGGTGCGCGTGTAGGGCCTGGGAGGGCCCAGGGACAGTGCTGTCTTCGGAGGCCCCGGGCAGCGGCTGTGGCAGAGAGCTGGGCAGGTTGAGGAGTGCCCTGGGTGCTGCGGTGTCGTCCTGCTCTGCGCTAACGCCTTTTGTCTCTGTCCCACACAGCAAATCCGTGCAGAGCAAAGTCGACTCCATCCTGGTGAGTGCCTCTGCGGCAGGTTGTGCTGAGGGTGAGGGAGCGACGCGTCTCCGCCTCTCTCCTCTCCTAGCTAAACTGAACCCTGGGTTTTGCCTGATCCCATTTCCCATTCAGGGTCAGGATCTGGCTGCGGGGATTAGCCCCGAGAAACCCCTGATCACTCTGCCCAGGGGGTGGCACCCACTCCCCCAGCCCTGTGTGGGACAACCCTTTCCAGTCCCCTCGAGGGGCAGTTCCTGTGACTTTGTTTGCCCAGTTCCCTCGCGCGCAGGCTGTGTTCATGCTGACAAAGCTGCTCCGGTTTCAACGCCCCATCAATTACTGCCATTAAGAGGGTAACGAGAGCGCTGCCTGCAGCAGCTCTTCCTTATTTTGGATCCTTAACCTTTCTTTGTCTCTGGTCCGTTCTCCCCCTCCCTGTGGACCCTTTGACCGTAGCAAGATGTCCAGAAGTTTTCAGACAACGACAAGCTCTACCTCTACCTCCAGCTGCCGTCGGGGCCGAGCCTGGGGGAGAAGAGGTGGGTGCCGGAGCGAGCCGGGGCCGTGTCCGGGAGAGCAGGGGCTGTCAGGATGGTGGTGGGGGACACAGATCGCAAGAGGCCAGGAGGGAGATTGCCACGCTCTGCCTTCTCCTGTCCTGCTTGTGCCACTTCTCCGCTAATTAAATGTTTGTCTCGGGCTCCCACGGGAGTAGCGGTAGCCTGGACCTGAGCTCGCTGAGCACGGCCGAGTACATGCACGCGTGCAACTGGATCCGGAACCACCTGGAAGAGCACACGGACACCTGCCTGCCCAAGCAGGACGTCTACGACGCCTACAAGTGAGCGCAGGGGCCGGCCTGGTGCAAGGAGTGTCTCTCCCCGGCGCCGGGCTTGTCCAGAAAAGCCCGGTGGGGAGGTCGGTTCAGAGGGCAGCAAGCGCCTGAGTTTTTTGGGGAATGGCCCTGCCTAACCTTGGGCTCTTGAAACAAGCCACGTCAGCGGGGTGCGTCCGGAGGGCAGCGAGAAGGGCTCGACGGCTTTAACCTGCAGCTCTCCCCGACAGGCGATACTGTGATAACCTCTGCTATCGCCCTCTGAGCACCGCCAATTTCGGCAAGATCATCCGGGAGATCTTCCCAAACATCAAAGCCCGAAGGCTGGGAGGCCGAGGACAGTCGAAATATCCTTCAGCGTGCCTGGCTGGCCAGGGAAGCCCGGGGAGCTGGCTGGACTGGTGGCGACAGCTGCTGCTTGTCCAGTTTTTCCCATCTATAAGTCTGTGCACGAGGTGGTATTTTGTAGTTTCTGAGAGGGTCTGGTTCCTGGTTTTTCGGCTCCTGAAGGTTCAGCTTGGTTGTCTGAGAGGGGCTTGGAGTTGTCCTGTCCTTGCCGTACACGCGGGGCAGCCTGGGGTTGCTCATGGCGGGCAGGGGGGAGGGGGGGGGGCCGGCTGCCGTCACACCTCCAGGACAAGCCCATCACGAGCCCCGCAGCTGCATCCCTTTGAGTTGTAACCTGTCGCGGCCGCGTTCGTGTGACAGCGAAAAACCTTAACCCTGCCAAACGTACTGCTACAGCGGGATCCGGAGGAAGACGGTGGTCAGCCTGCCGCCCCTGCCCAGCCTGGACCTCAAAGTGATGGAGACCGTAAGTCCCCTGCTGCCTCCGTGGCTTGGGTTTCGCTGGCCCTGTTTTGGCAGGGTAACGAACCTCCTCGCTCGTTAGATCTAACAAAAGGCAGGGGGTGGAGGGATGCCCTCTCTGCGAGCAGGTTCTGCTCTGTCCCGTGAGCCTCCCCAAGGGTGGATGAGGACCTGCCCGCCCGTGCAGGCTTGTGACCTGCCAGGGTGTCTGGATCAGGCCCCGTTCACATCCGGGGCGTCCTGTCCCGTGCCGTGGGGGGTCACAGCTTGTCCCAGCAGCAGCAGTCGGAGCTGACGGACCTGGTGCAGTCCTACAACAGCGAGGTGATGGAGGCGGCCTGTGCCCTGACCTGCGACTGGGCTGAGAAGATCCTCAAACGCTCCTTCAACAACATCGTGGAGGTGGCCCAGTTCCTCATCCAGCAGCACATCATCAGCTCCCGCTCGGCCCGCGCCGACCTGGTCATGGCCATGGTGGTCTCAGGTGGGTGGTGTGGAGCCCCGGCCCCGCTCACCCCCCGTCGGGCTCACTCGGACCCCAAAGGGCACAGGCGGTTTGGGAGGTGGGGTCCCCCCGGGATGCAGTGTCCCCTTGCAGCTGCCCATGGCGTGGGGGAGCGCAGAGGGGCCAGAGGCTTGTCCCTGCTCCATCGCCTTCTGTGCACCCACAGAGAGCACGGAGAAGATCCACCGTGAGAGTCGGACCCCATCGATGGCGAAGAAGAACGGCCTGGACACCTCCGAGAGCAGCGACGGGAGCCAGGGGCAGGTGAGGCCGTGCTGGAGCTGGGTGGAGAGCCAGGACGCCAGGTCCCCCACTCAGCATGGGGGGGCACGCTCGGGGAAGCAGCCCAGCTCCACCATGACGTCCCAACACCTCTCTCTGCCCGCAGATCAAGAAGGAGAGCAGCCCCAAGCCCCCCGGTGCTGGAGCTGGGTGGAGAGCCAGGACGCCAGGTCCCCCACTCAGCATGGGGGGGCACGCTCGGGGAAGCAGCCCAGCTCCACCATGACGTCCCAACACCTCTCTCTGCCCGCAGATCAAGAAGGAGAGCAGCCCCAAGCCCCCCGTCCCGACACGGCCTGAGAAGAAGAAGCCCCCGGAGCCCCCCAAGGCGGCCAGCAGCCCCCAGGTGAACGCCCTGGCCGCCCGCCTGCCCCTGCTCCTGCC